TTATATAATCCAAATCTAAGAAGAAATTTATTATCGGGAGCAAGGTTAGAAAAGGCTGGTGCTCATTTTGTGATTTCAAAAGGGAAGATGTGGATATACTTTAATAATTGGGATAGATTATGCTACGCTAAACGATATGACGGACTTTATCACGTAAAACCATTTAGATATGCAACAGGTAAAAGGGAAGCTGGTTACGGTACAGAAATTGGAAAGTTAAATAAAGTAGACGATGCAATGCTATGGCATCGGAGATTTAGCCACGTAAATTTTGATTATATTAAGAAAACTAGTAAGAATCAAAGCGTGAAAGGGTTAACAGAAATTAAAAAACCAATAGAGAGGTGTAAATCGTGTATTATTGCTAAATCTAGTAGAATAACTTTTAAATCTGTTCCGAAGAGATCGGATAAACCATTGCAGTTGGTTTATTTAGACGTTTGTGGCCCACTACCAGTTCCATCTAAGGGTGGGAGTAAATATTTTCTTGCTATTGTAGATGACTATAGTAGATTAGTAACAGTGTATTGTATGAAAAATAAAAATGAATCGTTCTACAACTTTAAGAATTATCATAGGCAAATGGAAAGACTGACGAATAGAAAATTAATAAGTATACACACCGATAATGGTGGGGAATTCTGTAATAGGCAATTCGAAGGGTACTTAGCCAAAAATGGAATTAGTGTTGAACGCACGAAACGCGTACACCCCAGAAGAGAACGGTGTGTGTGAACGTTTTAACCGAACGGCATTAGACGCAGTTAAAGCTATGCTTAATGATGGTAAAATGGGAAAAGAATGGTGGGCAGAAGCTCTTGGCTGTTTCGTACATACGTGGAACAGAGTATGTCATAAAAGCAACCGAACCCCTTATGAAATGTTCCTAAATAGAAAACCCAGTGTTGTTTATTTTAAAGTATTTGGTTGTTAAAGCCTATGTTGGCACGCCAAAAAATTAGTAAATTAGAAAAAGAGTGAAAAAATGAAGATTTACAGTCCTGTAGTAAATTTCAGATCATAAGAATATTTTTCACTATACTGGTATGTTTATATGGATGGACTAATTGTCAGTTAGATGTAAAGAACACATATTTTATATGCAAACCTAAATGAGAAAATATATATGACCCAACCAGAGGGATTTATCGAAGAGAAAAAGTGTGTTTATTACACAAGGCCATTTACGGTCTACATCAAAGCGGCCGTGAATGGTTTTGTGAATTTGAAAGTACTTTAGAAAATCTACATTTTAAGAAAATACAATGGTGTAATTGTGTTTATAAGGTTTCAAATGTAATTCTCTTGTTATATGTAGATGATATTGTGATTTTTAGTAAAGATCAATATAGTATAGATAAAGTAATTTCACAGCTGAGTAAGTTTTTTGATCTTAAAGTATTAGGCAAAACTAAAACGTTACTTGGAATTGAATTCTTAGAGAATGAGAATGGGGTTTTTATACATCAGCAAAAATATATCGAAGAAATTTTTGAAAAATTTAAACATTTCCAGATACCAATAACTTCACTTCCCATAGCTAAGGGCACTATTCTTACAAAATTAGATTGTCCATCTACAAGTGCAGAAGTTGCGGAAATGCATACATTACCCTTTAGAAATCTGTTAGGATGTTTAGTTTTTGTAGCTAACAGGACAAGGCCTGATATTACATATGCAGTGAATATCTTATCACAATTTCAGGAGAATCCTGGAATTAGGCATTGGGAAGCATTGTTGAAATTGCTTGGTTATCTCAATAGTACTAAATTATATAAGTTAAACTTATCGAAGATTAAACATCTAAATTTATATTGTTATTCAGATGCTGATTATGCAAGTAATAGAGATGACCGCGTGTCCATGGGAGGATTTATATTATATTTAGATGAAGTACCGGTAATCTGGAAAACTGTTAAACAAAAATGTGTAAGTTTATCAACCATGGAAGCGGAGTATATCGCTTTATCTGAAGCAGCGAAGGAATTAATGTGGACGAAAAATGTCTTACAAGATGAAATTTTAAAGTTTAATTTAAGAGAGTGTAAACTATTTTGTGATAACAAGTCTGCCATTGATTTTTCTAGATCGCCAATAGAAAATCGCCGAACTAAGCACATAGACGTAAAATATCACTTTGTTAGAAGACTAGTAAATGATGGAGTGTTTGACCTTGAATTTATCACCAGTAAATTAAATACTGCCGACTTATTTACAAAAGCAGCGACTGCTGTTAATTTAAGAAAGTTTTGTTTAGATGTTTTCAGTGTTTAAAGACAATAAGTGTTTTCGTATAATAGAATTGAACTATGCAACTTCTGTGAAAGTTTTGTTTTTGTCTTTGCATAGGGAAAAGAGGGCCGTTTGTTGGCTTTAGTTTTCCACATGCAAATTTTGATCGGAGGTCGATCGGTGGTAAGCTAACGTGGTTGCCGCTGATTGGCCGATGACGTCAAGATCGGCGGGTTGGCCGAGTATAATATATATGTGCGCCGGTATCGGCGAATCTTGTTTTGTTTCTTGTTCTCTTGTGTGATTATCAGTTAGCATTATGCTAGTTTGCTTTCAATCAAATGTTTTTAAAATGTAAAGGCTACAGTATTAGCTCTTTTATTTTATTTACGGAATAAAGCAAGAATTTTATTTAGTTTAGTCTTAGCTTTATTTAAGGGAAGCAAAACATGCTTTGCCTTTATCACCACTGCCAACAATTATAAGCCAAATAAAATAAAAACATCTGCTCTGAAGATAAGGATAGTGCTGACAGATCAACTTCCAATTCATTGCGCGCAGCGGCGTTAAAGATAAACAAAGTTTAAATAAACAAAGGATATGCCTTTATCCATTTTTTGCAGCAATTCCACTTTGTGTTTAATGAACTTCTAAACATACTTTCGCTTTGTAGATACTTTACATATTAATAAATATGTATCAGAAATTCTATTTGACATAATCGAAACTTCAAGCTTACTTTTATAAAATTGCTCTAACAGTCTGCAAAAAATAATAAGCCGGATCCAATTCGAAGATTAAGGAACAACGCAATCTGCAGCATTAACTGAAATAGATAATTAGATAATTTTAGCTTAGCTTATACCATCCGTTATACATTAAACGCACACTCGTAAACGTATTTTGCGCACACGCACAAGCATATTCGTAGCCGTAAAGGTCAAACGCGCATGCGTTTCATGCGCAGAAAGTTTGTAGCTTTGAGTTCCGGATTATGGGTGTCCGAATTAACGACTTTTGACTGTATAATATATTCATTATGGAAATATGGAATATTAACTAGTGTTCCTGTAGAATTCTTATAATTTTGAAGCATAAAAATTTTTGGTACTTCCTTATGATTTCTGCACTTTTTTTTTTTTTTTTTTTTTAAAGCTTAAGTTGTCTCCAGGATAATCATGAAGTTCATGTTTACTTCTCATGTATGTTTTGTGGCTACTGTGTTTCAACAGTTGCTTGCAGTATAGTACCAAAGTCATTTTCTTATCCCAAAGACATTTGCCACGTAAGCTCTGCAAGGTAAGACTCTGGATAATGGCAAACTATACTTATGTATGATTTTTATTATCCCACTGATAGGAACAATTGCAGTTCTTTCAACATTTTGTGTATGAGCTGCTATTGTTAGATCAACAAAATTAAATTTATGGCTCGCAGTAAAATATTAATTTCTAACCTGCATTTTCCAGTTTCTTTGTGTTATATGCTTGCCAACAATTTGAATAAATATTAGATCCCTCTTGTACATGGTCAGAGATATTTGCCATGAGTATGAGCTTCTCTATTTGGAAACTGTATGAGAAAAAATTCACTAACTTCTCAGCATAACTTGCCAAATATCCATAAAATTGTTCCAGTGAGTTGTATTTTCATAAAGATTCAGTGGCTTCATCCCTCACTTAATTGTCACTTCCTCTGCCCAACAGTAAATAAATTGCTTTACTGTTACAAGCAATGTCCTGAAACTATTAAAACTAAGCGTTTCCTATGATGAGACCATTGATATGATGGTGATTGATTGACCATTCCTATGATGAGACCTATGATGAGTGATCATAAATTGTTAATATATGTATGGGAAATGAAAATACATTAACATGTGGTTTACTTGGAACTTTTCTCATGAACAAACTGCAGAATCCTGACATCCAGTTGCTGGTCATTGAAATCTCCCTTTCCTTTATGATGTTAAGGAATAGGCAATATAATAACTCAACAAAAAAGAAACAGGTGTGCCATAGTGCGATTTTTCTGTGTTGACTAACTGAGATTCCTCCCTGTCACTTTTACACATCTAATGGCTAGGGAATTGTATGATGGCCAATGGCATTATGTTGATTGACATTTTGATGTTAGCTATAATCGCACTTTCGACCCTTGAGTAGATGGAGGTTAGCATTTTTCTGTGTGGCCTAAACAATAAGCGAAGCCTCAATATTGCTATGTCATGTCAACTTTCTAGGTTAAACTGATGATGTAAAATCTGGAAATTTTCAGAATTTCTGAACTGTTACTGAACTGCCGATGATTACATATCTCGGACTTTATAGTATATAAATGATAATGATTAGGAATGATGGCTATTTATAATGGTTTGTGTTTGCAATTTATTAAATAATTTTTGCACTGTTTGCAAAACAAAAAATTTAATAGCAAGAAAGTATCAGATTTTTTATGCTTTCTATTTAAAAGAGGAATTTAATCGCAATAGATGCAATTTTTCCATGTTTCTTTTTTACTGTGGCTACCATATTTCTGTTAAAGGTAATGATTCTGTAAGTTAAAAAATTGTGGCCAGAGGTATTTCTTAAACATCTTGGTTAAAAAAAAATAAAGTATAGATTTACTGTATAGTTATATTATTAATCTTTATAACATACTTTAGTGCTAATAACTGTAATTGTAATTTCAATTAAATATCTGAGAGTAATCATTTTCCTAGTGCAACAATCTGAAGTATTGCAGTAAGTGTAAAAAGATTATATGGTACAACATTCATCAAAAGTTGATTAATGAAGGTTCTATATTACATGGAACAGACTTCTAAACACAATATATTATTTTAATTATAATTGGTATTATAAAAACTTCATGAATGGGGAGCTGAATGCTTAAAGGATCCACATAGGATTTCTCATGCAGATTATAAAAATTAAATAAGTAAACAAAAAAAAAATAGCTTTATTAACTATAAGTTGTACAATGTCGCAGACTGTTTCTGCTTGTCAAAAATTTTCTGTGTATGAATGATATTGTTTTTGATTTTAACACATGATCAACATTTTTTGTACTATTCAAATTTTAGGTTAGAGTAATTGAAGGGTGCCCATTGGATTATGACTAAGTTGTTGTTTCATTTGTGGTAACCTGAATAGTTAAATGCTACGGAAGCCCTGTTATGACGTAATTGGTTGTGTGATTGCAATGAGCTTGTATGATGAGACAGATTTTGGATAAGAAGTATGTTGTTATTTTGTGGTTTACATTGTAAAATGGCTGAATGCTGTAAGATTAATTTGAAGTTCCTATACAATTTGGGAGAAAGGAAAAAAAAAAAAAAAAACATTAGTTGACTGGTGTGTAAATGAAGGTTTACTTAGTTGGCAGTATAAGTGTCCTGTTTGTAGGAAGGAAATGCGTATAGTCGAACATCGAAGGATACCTGCACTCAGAGCCGTTCCTAGGCCATTGGCTGCCCGCGTACTTTCTTAAGATTGCTGCCTCCAAAGTAAAAAAAAAAAAATGTTCAGTGATTAATGAAATTTTTATTTCATCGTCACTCTATATTGTACAAAGTCTTTAATCTAGACTCGTCGGGACTTTGGCGATTCCGGATTAGGGGTTTATTCGGATTATAGATCATGAATTTAAATCTGGTAAGATGGCATGCGGAAATTATAAAATAAAAAATATGAAACCATAATTTATGAAATAAAGAGCAATTATGATCTAAAGGGTATCAAAATTTTTTTAAAAAAAGTTTAATATTTATTTGTTTACTTTATCAAACATTTCTTCAATGTAAGTTGTTTAAGTTGCTTCGTTTTATGCGCCAATACTTTCTCTTTAATTTTATAAACAGACATAATATCTTGTTCAGTTACAAAGTTCCGCTGTTCAAGTCCTGTAATTGCTGTGCTGAGAATACCGACTAACTTGTCAATCGAAATTTTTTCGTTTTCACTAACCTCTTTGTCACTTTCTTCATGCCTTTATCCATTTTTTGCAGCAATTCCACTTTTTGTTTCATGGACATCGAAACATGCTTTCATTTTGTAGATCCTTTGGCAGCTCCAGAATCGGAAACTCTTTTTGACATAATCGAAAGTTCAAGCTTACTTTTTATAAAATTGCTCTAACAGTATTCAAAAAATAAAAAGCCGGATCCAGTTAGAAGATTATAGAACAAAGCAATCTGCAACATTAACTGAAATAGATAATTTTAGACTAGCTTATACTGTTCGTTATACATTAAACGCGCATGCGTAGAAAGTTGTAGCTTTGAGGTCCGGGTTATGGACATCCGGATTAAAGACTGTACTGTACTTCCATATGGTAAATTGTATAAAATGTATTTACATATGACAATTACTTACAGTGAATTTTATAATTTATAATATTTAGTTGTGTTATCATAAGAGTCTGGCTGCCCCTGATTTTCACTGCCTGCATACTTTTACGTGCTACGCCCCTGCTAGGAACAGCTCTGCCTGCACTATGGACTCTTATTTTTGTGAATTTATGTGGCAACGCCAGTATACAGATTCTAGTTCAGGTAGTTTTAGGAAGTTTTTGGATGCTGTTAACGAATTTAGTTTGACTGAAGACGGGGAAATTTATATATAAGGTAAGTGGATATTTCCTTTGTGTAGTGCTAAGATGAATTTCCTTTTCCATGTTATTTCATTGTTTAATTTAAAATGAAGTTTATTGGGATAATATATTGTTTGTTGGCTGCTCCTTTGACGTTTTAAGTGAATATAGATTGATGTGTACATGGACAGAGTCAAGTGAGTTTACAATGCCTAGTTTGTGCAATTCTCTGATGTTTTTTCAAGTGAAAATAGGTTCATGTACTGCCAAAAATCAACAGTTACCTTCAAGGGGCACCCGTAAATATATTTTTACCAAATTTTATATAATACAAATAATAATAAATAACCAAACTGACTGCATTGAACAAAAATTCAGTTTGTGCAAATTTATGTCATTTGAAGACTTAGATGAAAGCTTTTATGTCATTGGAAGATGCAGATGAAAGATTTAGACTGTATGTTTGTGATTAAAATTAAATTTTGGGAACTGGATAAGTATATCCTGAAAATGTAACATTATTTTGATTAAAATGATAACATTTTAGAAAATAGTTGAACATCTGCTTCTTAGGAATCAAGTATTTTTTTTTAAAAAGTGTGAGGTATTGATTGTGTGCTGTTATGTTTCTGTATTTGCAAATATAGGAAATATGAAATATAGACCAATGCAGTATTATGTTTTCTGTTTTGTTTTAATTCTTTCATTCTTTAAAGATTCAGAATATTTTAAATATACTCAAAGTTATTTTTATTTATGTTTAAGTATTGTTTGCTATAATATAGAGAGATAACTGTATAGATTGAATTATGTTTTATAGATAAGTATGGAATCAAATAATAACCCATCCGACAATGCTACATATAGTTCATGGTCTGTTATAAAATCAAGGAAAAGAAAACAAACAGATGTTGAAATGGCAGACAAAAATAGTAGACCATATTTTCCTCCTGCAAAAAAAGCTTTATTGGTAATTATTGGATAATTTTTTACAAATAATATTAAATCTTAAAGTACTGTAAAGTACAACCGAGAAATTCCGTTTTGTACCTCTTCAAGTGAGAATATCTTGTACTGGAAGTCTCTGCTGTAAAATTTTTATCTATTAAAACTAATTTTCACTTTTAAATTTCATAATTTTGAAATTCAAAAATGGAACTACTCTGATATGCGCTTTCAAGTCACCAAATTTCTCGCCATATATTTTTGGTGAGAAACTTGACGCGGCCATATTACTATCTAAATTTTTTGTCTACATTTCGAACTTTAAGCCTAAAATGTCTCCAAAAACGCGGTTTTTACACATGCAAAAACTACGTTTTAAACACACGATTTAAGCTAAAAATCCGAAACAAAAACAAAAAATTTAGATAGCAAAAACATAAAGTTTTTAACCAAAAATATTTGACGAGAATCCATGTACACAGTGACATGTTTTAACTTAAAAAAAATCTACGAATGGCACAACGTAGGCAACGAACAAATCTATGAACTACGCTCATCTCCCTTTAATAAATTAACATAACAACAATAAATTTCAAAGAATGCCATGTACACAGTATCCTGTTTAAACTTTAAAAAAAAATCTATGAATTGCACACTGTAGGCAATAAACAAATTTACGAACTACGCACACCTCGCTTTAATAAATTAACATAACAACTATAAATTTCAAAGAATACCATGTACACAGCGTTCTGTTTCAACTTTAAAAAACATCTACAAATTGCACAATCTACACTAAAAACAAATCAAGAAAATAAACTAAAATAAATTTCAGATAATTCAAAAAACAACAACAGCATACAAAAAACAATGAATATAACATTCTACAAAACAAAAACAATAAAATAAAATGCACTTACCATAATGAAAGCTTCTTTTAAAAGCAGAAATATCAATTTCAAACTTCACAAAAACAAAAAAACACAAACATTTTTTGCAAATAAACTACAAAGAAATTTTTAATTTTTACCATTCAATACATCTTACAATTTCTAGAAATTTTTTAAAAACATCTTCTTTAATTTCATGACAGTAACGGAAAAACATACACACAGCCAAATAAAATTCAAAATCACATTTCCTATTATAAGCAGGTAACGAAGCTTTCACATGCCGCCACGTACTCTCAATACTATATATATGACAGCCAGACTCGCTATCCACAAAATTTAAACTATGGTTCACAAATAAATGTTCAAAACCTTCTTTTCTCAAATCCTTGTAGGATTTCCAGCCATCGGAAAAAATAGTTGTACCAGGCTCAATCCACTCTTTAATACACTGCATCAGCGTTTCCTTACTTCTATCATGCACAGCTACTAAAAATAATCTCCCAGACCCTCTTTCCACACCTCCAAATACCCACTGCCCCTCAACAGGATGGCCACGATGATATTTCCTTTTGCCGAATTTCGATTCGTCAACTTCCACCACTTTATCGTTCCCCCCATCTTCTCAGGTACAGAGCATACAAAGTCCAAAATACATTCGTTAATAAAATTTCGCCAGTCACACAACATCTGTGAAGAAAACTTCCACGATTTTGCTATATCACATGCCTTCCTACGATTCAAAATTTCGAAAGTAACAATAAAAACTTCCTCCAACGTTAACTTGCTACACGAAAACCAAGATCCAAACCTTAAACTCCGCTGACACCTACATATTTTATTAGCAATGATTTTACTGCAAACCCACATAAGTCTATCAGAAACACCATTTTTCATCCGAGTTCTCGTATGAGCTCTGCATTTCGGACACGTCCAACTCCGTTTTAAAAGTCCCGACTCCCATAGAAATTCCAAAAATACACTACGATCTCCATAAATACATCCGTGAACAAAAGACTCGTTAACAACTCCAACATCGTACCTTTTCATACTAAATTTACTCTGCACACAATCTAAAATACACGGCTGAAACCTTCCCACCACGTCTTTCATCGCAACATAGGCCATTTGAAAAACACACGCGACACGAACCAACTAGCAATTAAACTACTCCACCAAAAGATTTTTCACCGTCGACGTGGTTGCCATACAACACGCAATCGCGTCAAAAACCAGCGCAAAACACATATCGCCACATTTGGTGAAATTAGGGCGTTTATCAGAGTTGTACCTCAAAAAATTTTAAGTAATTTAAATTAATTATCCAGTTTGATTATTCTTTACATTTAGTTTTATTTTTACGTCTGTGTAATAGTAAACTCATAGATGTGTATGCTAATTTTTTGTGGCTCTCTTATAATTTTGTTTGTAATTGAATGTGTTTCTTTAGGCAGGTAATGCAGAAATGAGTAAAATTCCTGTTCCACCTAATCGTCAATCTCCTTTAAAAGCTAACTGGGCGAAAATATTTACTACAGTTGTTCAACATTTACACTTAAATATTAGATTTAACTTAAAGACCAGGATGGTTGAAATAAAGGTACGTAGTTTTGTTTTGGATAATCACTTATTACAAAATTGAGAAAAAATTTTGGTACTTTGATATCCTGATACCAATTACAACGTTTGGTAGAATTGCAGTGTTTTGGCTCTGTTTTTGTATATACAAGCATTCTCTCACTTTTTTTCTTTCTCTTTATATATATGTGTGTGTAAGCAAAAATTTTATGTGAATTACCGACATGTTTATATTTACCAATCATCATTTAAAAAGTTTTGTATATGTGTAGTCTTGATCATGTCTGGGAATTTCCTTTGTGCATTTGAAATTTTCTAATTTAATTTCTAAAAGTATTATATTTCTTAGCTTCTTTTTGCATTTTGAAAGAATTTCATTCAAATATACAAGGGACATGAAACACGGCCACTCCTTAATTGTTGCAGATTTTGTGAAAAAATTCCCTTTGAAACGTCAGCCATCTTCCATAGGATTAACAATAATTAATTTTCTTTTGATATGTATTTATTAATACTGTGAATTTTTCACTATGCATTCCATTATAATTTAAAACTTCTGTGAAATATTTTTTGTATAATTTTATCTCAGTCTTCTAATTAACTTTTAATAAGGTTCATTTTGCAATAGTTTTTTTCTTATCTCTTCCTAGGGGATAATCAAAATTTAAAATTAATAATTAAATTTATATGGATATATATATAATTACAAAACAATTAAATATATAAGTATGCCTAGTATTTTCGTGCTTAAAGCTGCAGAAAATTATCATTAAAGACAAAGTAAGAAATTTAGAACTAATATGTCACAAAGACGAAAATTTTGTAATTAATAATTAATAAATTTCAAATAATCTAATAAATATAAAAGCCAAAACGTTTAAACAACCAATATCCCAATTTAAAAAAAAATCCTTTTATAAATGAAAACAAAGCAAAATGAGTAATTCAATCAACTTTAGTGCCACTTCATCTGGGGAATGGAACATTGAAATCAGTTGAAATATCTCTTCTAAAAAAATCCTTGCTTTTCTGTTTCCAGAATTAGCCGATGAAACATTTTAATTATAAAAGCTCACCCGAAAATTCTGGTCCTTCCTTAAAGCAAAGAAAAAAATTCAATTAGAACTTTTACTTTAAATAAAGAGAATTCTATTTTGTTTAAAGAAATGAAACCGAAAGTGAATAATTAAAATACTTCAGTGAAAAAAATAAATCAAAATTTTAGTTATTTGAGTATGAAATGCTGTAAGTTTAACTATAAGTAACCGGAAAGGAAGGACAATGTGTAAGTTATTCCGTGCATGATTTAATATTCATAAAACATTTTCCGAAGGATTAATGACATGATTTTAATTTATTTATTTTCATGAAATTTTCCATTTTAGACATGCAAAGAAACTAAAGATATTTCTGCTCTTCGGAAGGCATCTGATTTTGTTCAGGCTTTCGCCTTAGGATTTGAAGTAGAGGTAAGACTTAACAATCTTTCATAACTTATATATGTTTAACAGTATATATATGCATTTCAAATTTTTTACATACATGCTAATTGCAGACATTTCAGATTTTTCATCGCATCACCCAGTAGATGATTGAACCCCCTGCTTTATAATTTTAACCATTTACAAGGAAAATATTCCCCTGCAGTAAATGAAATTAATTAAATGAATTTAATGTGCAAATTCCATTCTCCACCATTAGTGATTTTCAGCATAAATTTTCCTATAAAATTTTGTTTAATTGAACTCTCTCATAGTATTTGTAGAAGGTTTTTTAAAAATGCGATCAATGTTTTATCAGTTAGCATTTGTATTTAATTGTGTTTTAAATCAATAAAGGCTACATTACTAAGTTTATTCACATAATTATATGTACATAAATTATAAATTTTATTTTCAACATATTTAAAATTACTTTGATAATTTTAAATAAGATGAAAGCTTTTCTTCTATTTTTCTTTATAGGCTTTTCTTCTATACTCAGAATTTTTCAGTATAAAAGAGTAAGAAAATTACAAAATAGAATTATGAAAGAATATAAAATTTAGAAAATATCAGTATATTTTGCATCTGAATCATATTATAAATAGTTCAATAATCTGAATTGTGCATTACAAAAAGGATTTGAGTCAGTTTGGAGTTCTTTTAAAAGACTTTGCCACATAGCATGAAAATCTCCTGAAAACTCAGTTTTCCATATAACAAAATTAGCAGCTATGCATACCCAGAAGGGCTAATGGTTTCGAAACAGCATTTTGTGTCAAATCACTAAAAGAATTGAATCAGTTTCCAAATTGTTGCTGCCAAATATATATAACACCTTATATTATATTTAAAGAAATTGAATAATAAAGAAATGTACGAATGTATGTGTATTTCTCACGTTGTGAAAAACACAAAACCTAGAGTCATCAGATTTTGAATAATGTTGTCCTTCTCCAGAATATGGGCACCTGGAAGCCCGAATTTTGATTTTCAAATTTGTTTCATTATCTATTTTGTAAAACTTAACTCGATGATTTAATCTAAAACTCAATGATTTCAAAGCAAGCAATAGCAACATTATATGGAAAAAAAGCATTTTTATCTCCAGTGCACAAGACCTTCGATCAGAAATTCTAAAGATATGCTGTTTTTAAATATTTTTAGCTCAAATGCTATCGAAATGTGTATGTGTGTGTAAATGGGGGGAAAAAATGCCTCTTTGGGCATAATATAAAATCTGAAAGCTTTCTGATATTTTTTAAATATCTCTCTCTTACTGAAAGATACTCTAGAAAGAATCTCTGTATTACACAAATTTACCTCATCTCTTCGTCTTGAAATATCTTCCATGTTTTACTAAATAAAATTGTTTTGCTTGTATATGAAAGGAACAAAGTTTTTTTTTTTTTTAAATTTAATTTTATTTATTTATTTATTTAATTGAAAGTGCTGTTTGCTTGAAAGGAAGTTTAGGATTCTGTGTTATTACAGGCTGGGGGCTTCAATAAGAGCCAATGTATTTTAATTGCTTATCTGAGTGCTAGTTGCTGTGGAAGAGAGCATGATTGCAGGTTTTTAATAATTCAAAACTTGATAATGCTAAAAGAAAGAAAATGCATTGAAATGCAATCTGCTCACAGTTCTTAAGCTTAGTTCACATCAATGTGTTCAGGTGGAAAGCATTGACCAATCAGAAGTGAGCTCTAAGGCGGCATTTACCGGACAACTGGAAACCATGCGAGTTGAATTAACTTCAGCCTTTTGCCATTTGACACACCAGTTTCAGGCATCTCGTTTCAAATGTCCAGTTTATACCACGGTTTTTAAATGATTGCACTTTCAAAAATTTTTGAGGGGAGGGAAAGTCAAATGAACTAATCGTAATAAAAATTTCAGATAATAATAAAAAATTCATATGTTAATAGAATAAATAGCTTTATAAATTATTTAAAGAAAATTCTCAAGTTTATTAGCAGATATAAACCTTAATAATCAACCATAAGTGATATATGGTTGATAATTTTTACAGAATAATCTTAAGCAATAGATTGTTGCGAGAAACTAGTGATGGATTACAAAATCCCAGATTTTGAATTTTTCTTAAACTCTTATCTACATCAATTTGAGGTTGCTCTTGTTGCCTAGTGGATAAAACATTGGCTTCTGGAGTTAAAAATTTTGGATTCAAGCATAATCAGTTGTTGTATTGTAATTGAGTTGGTATTAAAAAAATATTTACAGAATTTATCGCTAGTTTCAGAGTAGCCCAGATGCTTTTTCAGTTTCCTGAACGTGCAGTGTGAAAACCATACTTCCCGCTAGACACCTTAGCGTGGAGATAACTCATTCAGTTGGTACTTGTATTTTGGGTTCAGGCCTTGCTTTTTCTCACCTTTGATGATGGCATACCTCAATTTTTTTTTGGGGGGGGAAGACACAAGAAATTTGCATTTATTTTTCATTTCATTCATATAAGCATAATTTTCACTCGGCATTCTGTGCATTATCCTTCTCTTGACAGTGAGCCTTAGGCAATTCATAAGATGATCTGATTTTATTTTGGCTGATGGGAGACTAGCAAAAGTGATACTGGTAATTAGTATAAAGTTGTAGTTTTACCTAATTAAAAAATTTAATGATATCTGAATTTTAAATGAGTGGTGACGAGGAAACCATTTGTTTAAAAAATTAAGAAAACGATTATTTATACGAAAAAGAAGCTCGCTAGTATGTAGCTGTGATTTTATGAATACTATTATGCATTTTAATGACTTCATGTTTGTTTTTCTGAACATACATGACCACTTTTCGAACAACTTATATATGAACTTAACCAGAGGTTTAATCTTGATGATAATTTTCATTAGTTTAACCCTTTCGCCGTCCTCACCTGTCCACGAAAATTTTTCCACAGTGGCCTTCAGTTTTTTGTAGCTTGTATTGTTGTTTTCTCTGTACACCATAACTTTCATAGTATGAATCTCAATGAATATTAAGTAAAATTATGAGGAAATAAAGCATAATGGAAAAATAATAATATCTCTGCTCATTTCTAACAGCAGGATAATTTGATAACATCTGATCCAGGTGGTCCACTCCTCCCATTTTGTTGTTGTAATCTTTTACAATTGCTGGTTTTTTACAGTTCTTTTCTGTGTTCCAACATCAATCATCGAGATATTATGGACTGTACTCATCAAACGTATTGTAACGTCTGAGCACCCGTGTTGGGTGCAAGAAAAAACAAATTGTCTTTTCTTACACCCAACACGGATGTTCTTTTAAAATATTTGTTGTTGTCTTTTAAAATATTTATTTTAAAAACTTTATTAGAAGTTCTTGATTAAATAGTAAAATAACTGAATCATTACAACCATAAATTAAACAAAAGCCACTGGCGCGGCGAGGACGCCAAAATGCGTCCGCTTCCTCTTGTTTACAGCATCAAAAACTCTGTTACACAAAGCTCTCTCTTCGTTTTGTTAAAAAACCTGGAAAGAGAATAATTAGTCCCTTATTGCCGGAAACCACACGAGGTTCTGCTGCACATTTCTTCAAAGTTATGCTGTCCATTTTGCCTCTGAACAAAACAGGAAGTTCTCATTAAGCACCTGGAAGTCGGAGGGGTGCATATGTCTAATCGTCACAATCCTACCCTCCCCAGGGGTTGGGGGGTTTTCAGAATTCCAATTCCTAGTACCTTACCACAGCAAGTCTTAATAATAAAACTAACTAATAGTTATTAGCGCTAATGCTTATTTTTTTCACAATGCTGTGCTAAGTGCCAAGGATAAAACATAACAAGAACTACATTGAGGCCAGTAAAAAAAACACATAATCAACATAATACTGAGAAATAAACTTAATTATACACATACAAATAAAGAACGTATAATTTTCTGAAAAATGTAATATACAACATACAATATACATTCCAACTTTAACATTAATTATGTTTTTAGCCAGGCTGAAAAAGGGAAACCTTGCAGTTTTTTAATTTTCCGTTTGTGATAAACTCTCAATGATAACCCAACACCTGGATGAGAACTACTACAATTCCACCTCAAAATAAACATGTACATTTAATTTGACTTTAAGATCAGAAAAAACTACTTCATTAGAAATTGGATTTATATCATTCATGAAATAGTTATATTTAATCCCCTTTGACCCTTCAGTATCAGGCACTAGTATAGATAAATGATGAACTGGGAATTCTTCTACTTTCCTTGGTAAATTTACACTACATGGTGTCTTGGGCAATTCTCCTACGGAATTTTTAGGCATTTGCAAACCTTCCGAGTCTGGTTGGTACAAAACGTCATTTAGCTTATCTACAGTTTCTTGTTCATGCCGAACCGAAAAGGAACTTTTTAACTTGTTCACATTTCCCAAAGGTTACTGTGATCGTTTAACACTGACTAAGTCAAAAGATGGTTTTACAACGTCACTTTTCTTTTGTAGATCAGACTACCGCATCTTGTCTATAGTAAGTAGTCTATAGTAGGTCGATCACCTCGGTTTCAGGCAGGGCGAATTCGGCCTCCTTTATTCCTTTTATTGAGGACGAAACTTCACCTCTTTCAATAATGGGGGGAGAATCTTCGCCTGAGGGTTTGAGTTCGCCGCGTTCAGACTCTACCGGACAACTTTTCCCCATTTCATTCTTTGATTGACTCGGAGCTCGAGTACCTGTTTTCACCTGAAAGAACAGTTTATCATGTTGATCTCCTGCTAATTTTGCGACTGTTCTATTCCCTAACAAATAATGACCGGAGTCCAATTCATTTCGAATGACCGCTGCTTTTGTTGTTACTTGGTCAAAAGTTCCTTCTATCGTAACGTTTGCTAAGGGTAAACAAATTGGGGCCTCTTCAAACAGGTGTTTTACCCAAACAGTCTCGCCCATCAGCATTGAAGAAGTGAGATATTTCTTGCAAATTACGTCTATGCGTGACCCGGTACCTTTCAAATCTGGAAGATTGAAACCATTCACTTTAGCCATCGTT